ATTAGCAAGAACCCCCAAATTATGAATTACTCAATAGAACCCAAATCAAAACTCATCACACAACGCAAGAAACCCAAAATCGAAGTTCCATTAATCAAATTGTGTTTATTTTTACTTCATACACATGATATTCCAAAACTTTAAGAAACCATTAAAAATATGGAGGAGTGATCTTCAAACCCACTGAAACCATATCAGAATTCATCCCAGAACTCCAAATCGAAGAACTATGGCTCAGATATTGAAAGAATCAGAACCAATGATAGCATACCTCTGTCGCATAGATGGTGGGTCTTCTTCTTCAACTAACGATGGTGGGTCTTCTTCTTCAACTGACGATGGTGAGTCGTCTTATTCACGTTGGGTCGTTTGATCTGCGTGATAGGTCTCCAAGCGTTGGAGGAAGAAGAGAGACGTTTGGTTTCCCAGCGTACGTCGTTCCCTCAACTGAAGTGGAGTTTGTGGTGGGTCAGGCGGCTCAATCATTGGCGGAGGTAGTTCCACCGGATCACGACGTGGGGCAGTATTTTCCTTCGGAGGATGTAATAGTGCCATTATTTCCGACACGGAACACACCACTGGAACCGATTGCGGGCATTGCTCACTTGAGGAGACATGTGAAATGGTTTTCCTCTTTTTTGTTTTGCCTTGAATAATCTATTAAAAAAATGAAATTGGAAATGTAAGAAATATATATATATATATATGTGACATTAAATTGAATAAAACGGCAATTATTATTTTTTACCTCATCGCCAAGATTTTGACCTCTTCAAACATTTGTCCACGACCCTCCGGCTTCGATGGAAGAGGCCATTTATATTTTTGCACAAATGGAATTTTGTAAGAGAAAAATGTGAGTGGAAAGTAAAAAATATTGGAAGGAGAAGAGTTGGTATGAAGATTTGGTGTGGGAAAGTGAATAAAATTGATAGGTATTTATAGGGAAAAAATCCAGTATTTTTTTAAAAAAATTTCAATTTTTTTTCAAGCCGTTGGATTTCTGGGAAAAAAGCAATCGCAGCGCCTAGGAAGTGCCACGTGGCATTTTTCCGTTGGGCCCTGTCAGGTGCTAACGTCAAGATGATGTCAGCGAGCGGAAATCAAATTTTTTTTACCGTTGGCGCGTGAAATTCACACGCCAACGGTAAAAAAAATTTGAATTTACGGTCGCTGACGTCATGATGACGTCAGTGCCTTCGGGCTGCAGCCCAAGCAGGATCTGCTCGTGGGCTTGCTTAGTTCGGTGGGTCCCAGCACTTGCCCGGGCTGGATTTCCTGCGCAGGAGGCCTACTGGGCTCGCTTGGGGATCCTTTTGCCCAGTTTTGAAGTAGGGGGTGGACATGCTCTAATAGAAGATTTGAAGTAGGGGTGGACATGCTCTAATAGAAGATTTCAAGGATATTATTTCTTATAATCACCAAATGAAAGTAATATTTGAAAATAGGAAAATATTTTCAAGGAAAGTATTTAGAGGCAATGTTTAAGCCATCAACTGTTGTGGGAGTGATTTTCCTCCCTAGAGAATATTCGTCTCGACTCGAGATCCCTTCTTCCTCTTCACTTCTCTTTCTCCCTACAAAACAACAATGAGTGAAAAGACCACACCCGGGGGGTGTTGGCCAAAGGCCCTCCAATGCCTAAGTAAGATCAATTGTGTGTAGGATAAACAGTAACTAACAAAGTGTGCGGAGATTTCTCTCAGGAAGAACTGGGTGGCCGGAGTCTTGTGTGTGTGAGAGAGAGGGAGAGAGTGGCAGCTAGGGTTTGTGATAGGGGATTTCTACAAAGTTTCAGACATCCCTCAAACATTGTGCGTAGCCATATATTTATAGGAGCCTCAGAGGCTAGGGTTTTGGAAGAATAATTCCACACATGGAAAGAAATTATTCTCTCTCAAGTTGGAGAGATTGAGTTAATTAGGGATTTGAATAAAATCAAATCCCCAATTGTTGCAAGGATCCCCAATTTAGTTAAATAATTCCCAAATTGATTGGATTAATTATTTGACCTAGGATCTGTAAATATTTGTTTCCATAATTGTCCACAAAACAATCATCATAACTTATTCCAAACCAGTTCTAATACAGATTTGGAGGATTTCCAATTGACAATGATCAGTTCATAATTGTATATCATTTTGTACCCCTCTAGCTTATGATTTGGTTATGTTATTGAGTTAAACTTGTGCTTTTAATCCCTTTTCTTTTTATCATTCAGTTCATTGGTCCTTAGGTAGCAATGGTGGCTTTGGATAGGAAAAGATGCAAAATGGTGCAAAAAACGAGCAGATTGAGTTAGCAATTTGTTTCGGCCTTAACTTCCCCCTCTCAACTTGTATTGACCCAATTAATATGTGGTTGGAAAGAAGAGATTCTGAACTGCAAGATGGATTGCTCAAACGTATCAATTGATGAAGCCAAGCCCAATCTGTGGGCCCATCAAAATGCACACCACGAGTCAATTCCAGTCCATTTTCGGCAGTCAACTTGTAAGGCTCAAAACATATACTTGTACTACTCAGATGGGAAAACATTCTTCATAAACGTTTTTCCAATGGGTGTCTATTATGACATATCCAAATTTGAGCCCCATTGGATACATATTGAAACCTCAGGCCTTCCTACGCCAAGCCTGGTTCAGAAGAATCTTTTTTTTCCAGCAACCAAAAGAAAACCCACATGGGTTGGCAGCAAAAGGCAACCACAATTGAACACCTTTGAAAACCCATGTGAAGAAAGGTTGAGGTGCAGCAAAAGAAGTATGGGATGAAATTGTTTCCAACCACACTAACATAGATAAGATGAAGTGGGAGTTATGGATTGTATTAAAAGAGGAATTGTGGTGTTGGAATTCATCATGATGTTCCTCCCTCTTAGCCCTATAAATAGAGAAGTCTTCAAGCTTCAAAATTCACTCCAGCCATCCTCCACACTTCCATCATTCCATCAACACATCCAGAAATCATCCTCATACACACACATCAACCCCATACACTCCAGCAATCAACCCAATACTCTAAACTGCCCCAAATCACCAAAACAGCTCCAAAAAGCCTCCCTTCCATTTCCCTATAAATTTCCTCTTTCTCGGCCTTCACCACTCACCCAAACTCATCCCAAATCACCTACTAGTTGTCATACATCATTCTAGACATGGGGAAGCTCTTGGAGAAGCATTAGACGTGGAGAACCAGTTGAAGAAGTCTTGGACACCACAAGAACTTCAGAAAAGGGGTTTTTCTACTCTTATTGCATTCCTTATGTTTTCTCATTTCTATCTAAGTTTCTTTTTCGTTATGAGCAACTAATTTCATAACTAGGGCTTCGATGTAACCTAACATGATTATTCTGGGTTTATAAGTTTGAAGTTGGAGTTTCAAGTTGGATTCATGATTATTCATTATGCTTATCAGTTAATATGCTTGTTTGAATGATTAATCACCATTAGAACTTGTATGGTTTGAATTAAGAGTAGACACCATGCTTTAATTCGAATTGAACTATGAATAGGAAGAGTATGTATGGACATTCGACAACAGGGATTAGATACATGCTTGGTTGTTTAAATTGTTCTTCTATGTTTAATGAGTTCCTAATGCTTAATTTTAGGTTAGACAACAGATGATCAAATTAGGGAATTAGGAACACAAGGTTAGAACCAGACACTATGGCCTAATCATACTTTAGCTAGAATCAATCTTTGAATATGAATTAGACTTGTTACTTGACTCCTTTTAACCCAGAATTGAATTGTTATGGTGATTCAAATGCCTTAGTCTCCAAATCTGTTTTCCAGCTCTTAAAACCACTCTTTGTTACACTTACTTACTTTGCTTTTGTTTGCAATTTCATTTTGCCTCTTTTGTTCAACAATCACAACCACTCTTGCTTTAAATTCTGTTTTAGACATAACCTCCTACTTTCTTGAATTTGGTAATCTGAGTACATAACTAGTTTTAACTTCTGAGTCCTCGTGGGTATGACCTCGTACTTGTCTTGCTATACTACTAATTGCCCCGTACAATTGCAAGTTAACATAATATTAACAACAAATTTTGGCGCCGTTGCCGGGGACTGAACGAAAGTTCTTCCTTGCTTATGTGCCCAAGGTTACCCTATTCTTTTTAGTGTTTCTAATTAATCTAATTTTCTGTTTCAGGTAGTTTATGTCTAAAAGGTCATTCCTTGAACAAGTGAGGTCTTCGTTTCTACATTCCAGATCTTTGAACTCAAGACCATCGTTGCAACCCAATCGAGTGATCTCTGAAATTCAGAATCATCTAGAAAGAGAGTTGTCAACTGCAAAAGAGCAAGCTCTAGCCACATTTACAAGTCTTGCTCTCCACACTGAACTTCCTGGTTCTTCACTTTCAAATTCAGAAGCAAGTTCAGACCAAGAAGAAGAAATGATGGTTGCCAATGAGTTCATGGGATACCTTGATATCCCAAAAATTCCAACATCCCCTTCAAGCATTTTACTACCCACTGTAGCTCGAAAATATGAGCTTAAATCTTCTTATCTTAATATGTTACCTTCCTTTTATGGTTTACCTAATGAAGATCCATTGACTCATATAAAAGATATTTTTAATGTTGTGAGTTCTTTTCTCTTGACAGGTGTGACGGAAGATCAACTTCGAATGAGAGTGTTTCCATACATTTTGAAGGATAAGACGAAGTATTGGTTGAATTCTTTGAAGCCTGGTTCACTCACTACATGGGCTGCCATTCAAAAGAAGTTTTTAGAGAAATACTTTTCCACACAAAAAACCGACATGCTTAGGGACAAGATCTTGTTATTTGCACAGCAAGATGATAAATCGTTTTGTGAAGCGTGGGAGAGATTCAATGGGCTGCTCAATCAATGTCCTCATCATGGGATTCCTTTGAAACTTCAAATGCGTATGTTTTATAAAGGACTAACCCCTTCGAGTCATAATATTGTCATGAATTTTGCAGGTGGTTCTTATAAAACCAAGACTCCGGAAGAAACGTATGAACCCTTTGAGGGGATAGCAATGGAGACCCAACATACGGATACAAGAGGTAAACGTGTTATTAGTGGTTCTAATGATGCTTATAGTGTGCAGATTTCAAAACTGGAACAAAAGCTAGATGCTCTTCTTGCATTAAACTCAAGAAGCCCTCCAAAGGAAGTGTGTAGTATTTGCGAAACTCCTGACCATGCTACCATAGCTTGTCCACTTGGGGCTGCATATCCAGAATTTGTGCAAGAGCAAGCTAATGTGGTAAATTCCTACAACCAAGGTCCAAGAAATGATCCATACTCTCAAAGTTATAATCCAGGTTGGAGGAATCATCCAAACTTTTCATGGAGGAATACTCAGAATCAAGCCAATCCCCCTTCATTCCAAAGGCCACAACAATCATCATCATCATTGGAGGATATAGTAAAGCAAATGGCAATCAATCAATCCAATTTTCAGCAAACTACACAAGTTGCCATCTCCA